AAGGAAGGAAGGAAGGAAGGAAGGAAGGAAGGAAGGAAGGAAGGAAGGAAGGAAGGAAGGAAGGAAGTGGTGAGAGGGAGGAAGGAGAGAAGGAAGGAAAGACAAACGGGAAGGAAGAAGGAAAGGCTGAAAGGGAAGGGAAGAGAAAGGAAGGAAAGAAAGAAGGAAGGAAAAACAAAAGACAGAGAAGGAGGAAAGGGTGGAAGGGAAGGGAGGGAGGGAATGTGGAAGGAAAGAAGGAAGGATGAAAGGGTGGAAGGGAATTGAGAGAGAGAGAAGGAAGGAAAAACAAAAGGGAGGGAAGGAAGGAAAGGAGAAAGAGAGAGAGGGAAGGCGGGAGGAAAAAGGGAAAGAAGGACAATGAACGGGTAGAAGGGAAGGAAGGAGAGAGAAAGAGGGAGGTACGGAAGGAAGGGATGGGCGAGAAGGAAGGAAGGAAAGAGAGAAAGCAGGAAGGATAGGATGGTGAGAGGAGGGCCTGAGAAAAGAGCCCAACGGGCAGTATCCAGCCTCCGTACCTGCCGTAAGGAGTCAAGCTTGGTGCCTTCATGGATATTATCTAAAGATTAATAGTCACAGAAAATACCACCCCTCTCAATTTACTATTGCTTTGATGTGCCTTCAAGACATTTATGATTGACGGCCACCCTACCATAGGGTTTTCTGGGATGGAGAGTGTGTAATTTGCCCAAAGTTGCCAAGTGAGCTTCCAAGAAGTCATCATCCAACACTCAAACCACGGTTTCAGAGGAAATGAGAAGAGAGAGACGTGCACAACAGCTTTGCGTACATTATTTTGGTATTCGGAAGGAAGGATGGACAGGAGAGAAGCAATCTGCGCGGAGGGTGGACCTGGATGACAAAGGAAACATTTCTTGTTAAAAGAAGTCCCAACCAAGCTCCGAAGAGGTGGAGAGAGTCCTACAGCGGGGTGTCAAAGAAGTTGCTGCCGCGGAAGACGGAGGAGACGATTTTTCCAGTGGAGTTGATGGTGCCCTCGCTGTCGGAGCTGGACTCGGAGTCGCTACTCCCAGAGTAGGCGCCCAGGCCGGGCAGGATCCCGATGCAGACGGCCGCCGAGGGGCAGTGGAGTGTGGAGCCACTCATAGAGCTGCCGCCCAGAGGAATGCAAGGCGGGGTTTCTTCACCGGGAGAAAGGAGAGAGAAAAGGAGAGGCAGGTTGCCCTTGTTTCTATCAAATCAGACCCAGGAACAGTGCCTAGCTGTTGGCTAACTGTTGACAATTGGCTAACTGGCTAACTTCATCACATGCAATAAAATCAGCGTGTCTACACGTTTAAGAAACAGCTACTCACGGAGCCCATCGCACAACACAAGCTCATACTGTGGGTTCCATGCATTTAGCCATTTCTAAAGTGGTTTTTTTTCGTATGCTTCCTAAGTCGATTGGGAATTGACTTTTTTAAAAATTCCCTGCATAGACACGTGTAAACACACGGAATTGAACATGTGATGGAAAGTCTCCATTGTCCGCTTGTAAAGATAATGTTGTTGTTCTGGAGGGAGGAGCCAAGATGTCCGGTATAGATTCCTTTCTTCCACCATAATATTTAGATCCAAGGAGGAAGGAATGGTAATTTATTGTATATACTCGAGTATAAGCCAAGTTTTTCAGCCCTCCTTGGCTTATGCTCAAGTCAAAGTTATTAATTATTTTACTATATTATTATTATTATTATTACTATTACTACATTTATTATTTTACTCTATTATTTTTGTTACATTTATTATTATACTCTATTTGTTATTATTACAATTATTATTTTACTCTATTATTATTATTGTTATTATTACATTTACATTATTTTACTCAATTACTTTATTACAGTTATTATTTTATTCTATTTCTTATTATTACATTTATTATTTTACTCTATTATTATTATTATTAGATTTACATTATTTTATTCTATTATTTTATTACAGTTATTATTTTATTCTATTTTTTATTATTACATTTATTATTTTACTCTATTATTGTTATTACATTTGTTATTTTACTCTCTTTATTATTATCATCACATTTATTATTTAACTCTATTATTATTATTATTATTATTACATTTATATTATTTTACTCTATTATTTTATTAGTTATTATTTTATTCTATTTCTTATTGTTACATTTATTATTTTACCCTATTATTATTATTACATTTGTTATTTTACTCTATTATTATTATATTTATTATTTTGCTCTCTTTCTTATTTTTATTACATTTATTATTTTACTCTATTTATTATTATTGTTATTACATTTATCATTTTACTCTATTATTATTACATTTACATTATTTCACTCTATTATTTTATTACAGTTATTATTTTATTCTATTTCTTATTATTACATTTAGTATTTCACTCTATTATTATTATTATTACATTTGTTATTTTACTCTATTATTTTAATCACATTTATTATTTTACTTTATTCATTATTATTGTTATTCCATTTATCATTTTACTCTATTATTGTTGTTATTATTACATTTACATTATTTTACTCTATTATTTTATTACAGTTATTGTTTTATTCTATTTCTTATTATTACATTTAGTATTTTACTCTATTATTGTTATTACATTTATCATTTTACTCTCTTTATTATTTTTATAACATTTATCATTTTACTCTATTCATTATTGTTATTATTATTACATTTACATTATTTTACTCCATTATTTTATTACAGTTATTATTTTATTCTATTTATTATTATTACATTTATTATTTTAATCTATTATTTTTATTACATTTATCATTTCACTCTATTATTATTACATTTACATTATTTTACTCTATTATTTTATTACAGTTATTATTTTATTCTATTTCTTATTATTACATTTAGTATTTTACTCTGTTATGGTTATTACATTTATTATTTTACTCATTATTATTATTATTATTATTATTATTATTATTATTATTACATTTATTATTTTCCTCTCTTTATTAGTATTGGAGGATCTTCTTTTATGTTTTTCCCCTTTATGAAAAGAGATGGACTTCTAAGCAAATGTTGATAGATAAATCTACTGATGGACGGGCCAGCCGATACAACAGTTGGTAAACAGCCTCTATTTATTGTCTACCCAATTAAAAGCGAATAATTATAATATTGCCAAGTGGGGTTCTAACTGCAAAATAATGTGAAATCGGTGCTCCCTGCAATTCTCCAATTTCTAAGAAAGTGGAACCTAAACTATTTTGCTTTTGGGAAAAAGTGTAAGGCATAATTACAGCATAATTCTAATTTAGCATCCTTCCAAATAAACTTATTTGAGTTTCAAGATTGTCAGAGCAAGGCTTTCTCTCAATCCCACTACCTTCACAGGCATTTTTTAAAAAAACTTTTAGATTTCTATAGAGAACTCCTTCCCACAACTGACCCACCAGTGAGATGTTCACAAGGTCAACTTGACCAGTGCAGAATTCCCTCAAAAGACATGGAAACACTGTTATTTACCCGTCGTCTTGTTATTTACCTGTTGCCTTGTCGTGGTCCGGATCTGGATCCAGCTTCAGTCTCTTTACGCTATTGGCACCATCAGAACTACAAAACAAGGTGACAGCAGAAACTGACTTTAAGAATACTTTGACTACGAAGGTACACACACTGAGGCTGGTATAAGTTAACCAAGAAGCAAGAATGTTTATTGAACAGGCTTAAAATTAATTCAGGTACAAATGTGTAATGGTTTCAGAAAGTTCTGGCATGAAAAGTTTGTGGTTGTGTATGAGTAAAATCATAAACACTTCTGGGTTACAAATCTTCAAAGTGGTGGAACTTTGAAGACTTGTAATGTGGTGGCAAAAAAAGCCAATGGGATTTTGGCCTGCATCAATAGGAGCCTAGTGTCTAGATCTAGGGAAG